CAAAAAATTATTTTATTACATATTTTATTATTATACAAAAGTTTTATATTCATAGTCAAAATTATTCACATATTTATAGTGTCGTTTTTTAATAAATTTTTCAAAATTATTTAAATGTTATTCATAATCTAAAATGATGTAGTTATTAATTCATATGATCTGCTATGTGATTTACTCGTACACGATACACTGTAGATTGAAAAAGTTTTAGCCGTTCCAAATAAAATAAATAAATTACTGAACTTAATACAAATTATTAATAGATGGTTGTATGCTATTATCTGTGATACTAAACCATCTCTTTTTGTTCCCATGTTTCAGTTCTTTTTAAACCACATAACTGATTATATAATTTTACGAGAAAACGCTAAAATCCAAGTTAAGAATCGTTGAAAAAAAGCTTTTGCCCCCGTAATGGAGAAAGCATAATTTTCTGTCGAATATTTGATATTTTATTTGGATATTTTAAAATATTATATGAATTGTTCTGATCGTTGTTATATTAAAACGATGATTTATTGATGAACAATAAATCTTACCGTATCAGGAAAAGAATGGAAGAAATGCTTACACCACGGAATAATTTCTCAAACTTTTTGTTGAATATTATTTTTAAAGATAACAATACTTTCCGTAATTCTTTTTAACGATAAGTCAACACTAAAATACAAACCATTTATAAAACAAAAAAACATTTAGATATAAAAAAAGAGAATTAAAATTAATATTTAAAGGCTTTTTAGAAAAATAAAATAAAGAATAATATTAAAGAAAATGTTATTATTAAGAAAACAAAGAAAAGGTTTATTTGTTGGGGTTGTTTGTTTACCTCTTAATATTATTATTAAGGGACAACTTCTAATTTGTTAATAGGTGAATCTTGTTTGTCAAAAAAAAATCTGCCTTTTAATGATTTTGTATCATGAGTCTCCCTTAATCATTCAGCACACTAATTTCATTGTAAACAATTATCAAACAACTATATTTCATTTTACACTCTATCATGAAAAAATCTTAACAATTCTGAGTACTTAATCATTTTACATCAAACTATTCAATAACTTTCAAACATCGGACAATTAGTCTCGCAAATTCTTCCACTAAAGTTAAAACAATAACATAGATATGAATCGCGATGCTTTTGCATTTATAATATTTAAAATAATAATAATATAAAAACACAAACACATGTTGATAATTAAATCAATGAAATTGTAACCGTTCAATTTAAACACTCGAATAAAAACCACCATCATATTACTTATTGTTATAAATATTCTTGTTACAGAATCCGACTTATATCTCTTAGGTGGTGTTTATTTTTAAAAGGTGTTGAAATCTCAAGTATTATTTTACATCTGGTATATATGAGGTTGTGTTGAAGTTTGAAATCTGAATCAATAAGACTGTTTGTTTTTTGTAAATTGATAAACGTTTGAATTTGTTTAAACTGTTTATTTCGCACAACAAAAATTATACTGTTGAGTTTATAGATAAATTTATACAATTTCACATATTTATTCATCATCGAAACACCATTGTTCAGAATTTGAAGAATAATAAGAAGAAAATAAGTGGTTGGTTTACCTCTTACCAGATAAGAGAAAAATAAAACATAAATGTCTTTGAAGAATTTGAGAAAACAAACAGTCTAAATGACCCAATCACTTAACGAATCATACATAAGAAGTTTAAGTCTTAAGAATAATAAGAAGAAAATAAGTATGTTCCAACTTGTTACTTCTTGTTCAATGGGGTAGGGGTGAAACAGACATATTCCACTATGTTCTTGTATGTTTGTTATCAACTTCTTATGTATAATTCTTTAAATTCTTAAGAAGAAAATAAGTGTTCAGTCTGAAGAATAATAAGAAGAAAATAAGTGGTTGGTATGACTTTTATGTTAAACAGATAGGAACATAGTGGAATATGTCTGTTTCATCCCTACCCCATTAAACATAGTGGAACAAGTTGGAACAAACTTATATTTTACCAATATAAACTAAAAAAAACTTAAATTATCTTCTAAAATATCAAATAGGTCTCATTTTTTATTTTATGTTTCTTAAACTTTCATTTTATCGTTCTCAAAATATTATTTTTATATAGTTTCTATATTTTAATTAATTTATGTAATCTATTATATATTAATAATAAAAAATAATGTAGAAAAAAGATAAAAATAAAAGTTAGAAACTACATAAACTTTTTATTTGGTGTCATTTTAATTGTTTTAATGAAAACTTTCAAATGATATATTTCATCACCAAAAAAAAAATATTATTCTATTATAATTTAATAAATTACATAAATTAATTAAAATAAACAACTCATTAAGCATAAATTGTTCATTTTACTTGTTCTGTTTTGTCCAGTTTATCTTACCAAACGTTGAACAATTGTTCTATCATGTCATGTCTCGCCCTGTCTTATACTGTCTTCATGTCTTGTCTGAACACCAAACACATCCTCAACGAATGAAGAAAATGTCCTTAAGTTGCATTGTAATGGATTGTTTCATTGTACTATAAATCTCTTTAAATCTATAACTATTTCTTTCATTCTTTACAATAATTCTTTTTGCATTCCATCGACTGTACGATGCCATAAATTACATAAATTATTAAAAGTAAGTTTGAAGAACAATAAAAAGAAGTAGCAGATACTCTCTTTTATTAAAAGAAATAAAATATAAATAGATCCTATTTACTACTTTCTTTATTCATGACAACGATGTCTTTTCTTTTTTATTAACCCAGATATTCAACCCGCTATGCAAGCCAACTAACTAATCATAGGATGACCACCTGTTTTACTTTTTACATCATGTGTGCATTTTAGCGTAGTCATGTCCATACTTAATACAAACATTACCCATTAATATACATCGGAAAATGTAGACTGCAGAGACGAAAATCGGCATTGAAAGTTTGGTGGTCGAGATTACTGTTTTTGCTTTGATTCAGATAAGATACTAAGCTAAATGGTGGTCAATTTTAACTATACTTTCAAGTAGCAGCGACGGTTGAAGCCAATTGTACACGCACTTTAAGAAACTTTTACAACTTGCATTATCACGTTTATGATATGGTAAAAACTCAAAATTATTGCTTACTAATTAAATTTCGGATGTCGATATTGATACCAGATAAGACTCAAAACATTATCTATGGTAGAATGCCAAAAGTATATGATAGCAAGTTTTTTTTTTTTACAATACCATGTATTAACTAATTATAATCGATATGCAGTATTTTATACTGTGTACCAACCAATAATACTCGATACCAACACTTTTTGGTTGGTGCATGTTGATACTGGTTTAGTATCAACTTTAAATTATATATATGAAACTTTGTCATTTTGTTCAAATTTTGAATGACATTTTAAGTTCTTACGTAACATATGACGTTTAAGGTTTTTAATACCAAAAATAAAACTTAGAAACATTCAAATGTTCAAACACAATAGTTATAATAGAATGTTTACAATTTAATACATAGAAAATACAAAAACTAATGAATATTTGAATAAGTTGATACGATGGTACTATTATAGTATGTGTCTTTCAATACCATGTATCAACCAAGTTTACATATTTGATATGGTACTGTCAACTAAGGTGCCGTTTACCAAATGCTTATCCGGTAAACGCTTATCAATAAAATTTAAAACTATCACTTACTTATTGGATATGATTTTAGTCAACAAAAACGGTATCGTATACAACGATTTACCCTGTAAGCGCTAACTATGATAAGAGTCATCGCCCTTACTTACCGGTTAAGATTTTTGGTCCTTGTCTCGCTCTTATCGGGTAAGATTTTTAGTCTTTACTATATTCATCCAGTAATGTAAATGTGACTTAATAAGCGCTTACCTGGGTAAGGGTTTGATAAACGACCCCTAAGTATAATGGATACCGACGGTTGATATGCATATTGGTTGATTTTGGGTGGTACAAAATTGTCCCTTAGATTTAACTGAATTTGGGCTTGAACCGATGGGTACCAGTTGGGCCGTCATGCATGTGGGCTTAGTTGGGCCAAGGCTAATGTGGTGGTAATTTGGGCTGGTTGATACGAACCAGGCCATTGAACGCATACGCGTAAGGCGTAACGCGTGTAATACTGTAATGTAATTTATATTTATATAAGAAGAATTAAATTAATATAGCATTTGCTTAAATCATAATTTTAATTTTGGCAAAAATAGCCCCTGAAGTTTGTAAAATCAAACTCTAGCCATGATCTTAGAAATTATATTTCAACTTTCAATATTTTTGTTATGCATTTACTTCTATACTAGATCTATTAACTAGTGATTGCGATCACTATATTGAATGAATAGGTCCACATGACATAACGATTAAAAGCGATATCTTGTATTCTAATTTGGATTTCATGCAATATTAAACGAACAAAATAACTAATGAAACAGTATAAAGTAATTATTTATTTATGGATCTGATATATTAAACTTTTATGATATAATAAAACGACTAGATATATAATATCAATTTGATGATTACAATTCACAGCCTCGAAAATCGGGATGTGACACTATCAAAACCCCATCAAATATTCTATGAAGATGAACTGATAGAAACTTTTACAAATATTGGGTATCCTAATTTACAGATTAGGTTAGGGAGCAAAAAGACAAATCTTTCAAGATCTGAATTAGGCTCAGCTCAGCTCAATTAATTTACATACCAATCACTATCATGAATAATACTAACCCACCCCCCAAACCCCACTCCACCCACCCACCCAAAAAGAATTCAATTGGAAGAAGAAAAACAAAATTTTGAAAGAGGGAAAGAACTCATCTTGCTTAACTGGTAGGCTGCTGATTCTTGAAATTGGTGCAATGTAACAAGGCCTTGGCATTCATCTCTCTTTCAAATCTCCAGATATAATTCAGACCAACTAAAAGCTCAGTTATGGCAGCCTCAGTTTTGTGCTGATCTGCAAAGAACAGCGTTTGTAAAAGAAGAACACCAGTTTTGGGCATCAGATTCTGATGTTCAAAGCTTCTTTCACTTTGCCATTTCATCATGTTATGTGCTAATGGTGAAAGCCATCCCAATATCTTTCCCAAGGCTTCTCTCCATTCTCCTGCAAGAACTGGATCACTGGCTGTAAACCCTATCCCTTTTAGTCTACTCCTTAAAGAAGACCTTATGCTATTCGGTAACATCGAGTAAAGATCATCTCTGGCATCAACTCCCACCAATTGGGGTGATCTAATCATCCTTTCTGTCACAATTATCAAATTGGCATAATGCAAAGCAAGAGCAGCAGCTCCTAACGTGGTTGATGATGGTTTTAGTATCTTTGAATTCCTTTCGAAAAACCCATGTGAGAGATGGTTGTTTTCTTGATGTTTTGAGCTTTTGACTAATGGCCCAGATACAAAGTTGAAGGAATTTGAGGTTTGATCAGATGGGTAGACTGTGGCTGAAGCTGAGAGGCTGCGAGGGAGAGAAGTGGGATAGCCATGGCTGATGTTGAAAACAAGCTTGATTCTTGATAAAATGGTGAAGATTGATCTAGCAAGCAATGAAGTTATTGTGTCAAAACTTCTGTTCCATAAAGATTTCTCTTTTAAATACTTGATCTCTTGTTTCTGCCATTGGAGCTTTTGCTGGAGATCAAGAATCTTCTGTTGCTTCATAGAATTGCCAAAAGAAACATCATGATGATCTTTCTTGTGACCATGATGACACTGTGAAGATAAAGATTTCTTTAAACTGTTCTCTATGACAGTTAGCTCATCCATCTCTCTATGAAGTGCAGCCGTGGCCGTCATGAATCGCTGCATCTTCTTATTCTTGGCCTCCATTTCTTTCCAGCTCAAAATCCAGCCATGAGGGTCACGACCCGTGTTTGCAAAAGCATCGAACACCATCTCAAAGCTCCGAAGACTCGAGTCTTCACACCGTTTGCTCAGCCTAGAGACCGATTTCGCGAGAACTCTCAAGTTCTCAACCATTTCACCACAGGCTAGGCCCAGTAGGAACACATCGTTGGTTGAGACAATTTTTCGAACACCTTCTAGGTATATGGATTCATTCCGAAGACGCGCCATATTCTTGTCGGAGAGGATCTGCCACATGTGGTTGAGCTTCGGAGCAATTCCAGCGACCTCGAAAGCCAAAACCCCCACCCTGGATTTCTTGATTACCGGTTTCCTAGACGGTGGAATAGCATGAACGGAATCGAAATTGTGGGATATGGATTTCTTAACCTTGATTAGCCATGTTTCAAGACCCATATCTGGGTTAGATTACAACTCACACAACACAAACAACAGTTGAGATTATATAGTTGATTCTGGTGGGTGGAAGAACTGAAATCAATGCAATGGCATGTTGAATGATTTAGGGTTTATGTGCGTGATTGAATTGAATTCGAGAGAGAAAAGGAGTTTGGAAAAAGAAAGATTAAAAGATGATGGTCGATGGGCTCATGGGAAGTGTGAAGAGATGCATTATATCACCTGCTTCGAACCACTCTGTGTGTGTGTTTGTGCGTGTGAGAGAGAGAGAGAGATGTGAAAGGCACATGCAATGAGAGTCTCGATTTAATTATTTTTTAAGTCAAAAGAATCATCTCTATTTTCATTCATATATATATATATATATATATATATATATATATATAGGTGGAGGTTCAAACGAGAACCCCTGTGATTTACGAAAATGCGAGAACAACCTAATAACCTCAAACTTTTTTAATTAATAAATTAACTTTTATTATATATAAATAATTTAATAAGGACAATAATGTAATTAAGTAATTTTTATAATTTTTATTTTATTTTAATTAACCATAATTATCTTTTCACGTTCCACGTTTTACTCTTGGTAGTTATCTTATTCTTCTTCTCATTAACATCTTTTCTTCATATCACACMTCTATCACATAAGTATCACACTCATATCATATGATTATCACACCCATATTATATGATTACACCAAAATTTTAACTTGTCAACCAAAACGATAACCCAAGTGATGTATAACAGTGATTATCACACCCTTATCACATGATGACACCAAAATTTTAACTTATCAACCAAAACGTTAACCCAAGTGATGTATAATGGTGATTATCACACCCCTATCACATGATTATCACACCTAGTATAATCCTAACCTATTTCGTAACCGTTTTACTAGATAATGATAATAATGAGTGTTTAAAAGATAATGATCGTGTTTAAAAGATTTGATGATATCATTTCCATTATTACCCTTTTAATTTTAAATTTTTTTGAATCTTTTTAAATTTTAATTTTAATTTTAAAAATCTTTTAATTTTATTTTTTATCACAATATGAGGTTATTGGGTTGTTCTTGCGTTCTCGTAAATCACAGGGGTTCTCGTTTGAACCCTTCCCTATATATATATATATATATATATATTAAAAAAATATCTTATTTATCAGACACGTTTTAAAACCATGAGTAGAAATATATATGGACAAAACGTATAATATCTGAGACGGTTAGTCTGAGATGTTACAACATTATTTTTTCATCCAAAACCAAAATTTAATATATTGATTAACATATATGTGTTCATAATTTGTTTGTTCCATACGTACATCGTTCACAATATGATAAGTTTTGTTTCACAAACAAATTAAAAAAATAATAAATATATATATAAAAATCATATTAAATATTATATGATTCACTAGTTTTCAAGATTTATCGTATTATTATTTTTATTATTTTATTATATACTTATATTTATATTCATTAATCCCTCTCGCTCGTGTCTCTTGGTTGTCATATTTTGACTAAAGTCTTCAAATTGTATTTTTAAAACCTTATAATTAATATTAGTCTTAATTAACGGTGATTTTATTATAAGCTTTTTCGGCTTTAACTAATTGTTTTATATCTTAAATGTTATTTAAATAAATCTATATTATTTAGATGTAACAAAAAAATCCGTCATTGTTTAATTTTACGCGTTTGAATAACGTCATTTAATGAATAGATTTAACAAAAAAGGTCAAATTCTATGAACGTAGCATGATTTGTTACTCTGATTTAACAGAAAAAAGAATAGAAAAAAAAAACCCTAAAATGAACAGAATCCCACGTAAAATAAGATCAGTTTCCATACATGAAACGTACAAGTAGTTGTATATCATTGGATTTGACAAATGGTAGTATGGAAATAACATAAATAAAATATTTTTTTATTATTAAATTTTATATTGAGAAGAGTCTAAAAAATCCAATAGACTTTAGTGTTTGAAATGATTAAGTCATTGCATAAATTTTTGGAACAAATAAATCATTGGACATTTCAAAACGACAAAACTTGTTAAATAACACTTTAAACTTTCTAAAACCTGTTAAATACATTCTTATAACCTATAAAACTATTTAATGTGATAAAATAATGAAATTTTTTTTAAAAAAATCAATGAACTATCATATTTTGAACGATTATGTTTCTAAACATTTTGCAATGTCCGAGAACTTATTTGTTTCAAAAACTTATTCAAAGACTTAATCATTTAAAACATTAAAGTCTATTAGTTTTTCTTAGACTTATTCTTTTTATATTTTTGACAAAAATAATACATTTATTTATATTAAAAAAACAACAATGTCAACAACGATAAAGTTAGAAACGATATTAAGTGACGACAAATTCAAAAAAACGTGTAAAAGCTGTGATTGTATATAATAAATTTTAGATCGTTTTAATAAATACAAATATTGAAGACAAATATCGTACCTACGCCTATTATGTATTTTTGGGGACCCCTTGTTCTTTTATTTTTTATTTTTTTTTTACAGTTTAGAAAGATTCATATTTTTAAGAAAAATTAATTTACCCCTTATTTAATTCATTAAACCAATTACATTATTCCCTACAAAGTTGATTTTTTATATAATTTAATAGAGCAAATTGTATGAAAAGATAACGTAATTTAACTTGATTTTTATTTTGAATAACGTATTTTGAAAACTTCCATTTTGGTATCTGAGATGTAATGTTTTAAACATTTAAGTACATTGGTAATCGGTTGAAGCATTAACCGGTTACCATACTGATGTGGTGAGTGATGTGGTATCCAATTCAATATTATTTGTTATTCAACCCAATTTCATTCCATCACTCGCCACATCAGCATCGTAACCAGTTATCCGAGTACTTAAATGTTTAAAATTTTAAATATAGGTATCTAAATGTAAGTTCTAAAAGTACGTTATCCAAAATAGAAATCAAGTTAAAGTACGTTGTTTTTTCATACAATTTGTCCAGTTTACTAAAAAAAAGTTTGATTGTTAATCAAATACTCAAAAGTATTTTTCCTAATAAAAATGATTTCAAATGTTGGTTTACTAAACTAGAAATAAGGCAAATTTGGTTATATATTTATGCAATTTACTTAAATCTGCTTTAATAAGACATTAAAAATAAAATACCGAAAATCCATCACTTACACCATTTTACCGCTAGGACTACACATTGTCAAATATGACAATCTTCTTCGTATTTTACCATTTTGCCGGCCGCCTTTAGGGTGTGTTTGGTGCGCAGACAGGATAGGACAAGACAGGACGGGACAGGACAGGACAAATGTTCAGCGTTTGGTAAGACATGACAGGACATGACAGAACTGGTTAAAATGACCAATTTACCCTCAGTGAGCTGTTTAGTGTTTTTTTCACTAAATAATCAATATAAATGTTTACAAATACTCTTTAACAATACCAAAAATTTCCAAAATCAATCTTAATTAAAAAATCACATTCCAAAATCAATATTATTAGATGGTTCTGATCCATTTTACATAAAAAAAAATGAGATGTAGTCACTATAAAATGTTCCAACTATATTCATCAATATGCATCTATTCTACATAAAACAGTTAGCATTTTTATTTGAAATGATAAATCAATTGAAGCTAGGAATTTAGTTGATTACATTGTTATGAGAAACAAATCAAACAATAGGTAGAAACAGTTGATCAAGTGTTGTTCTTATTTGTCATCACCATATTGTTTACACATGATAACTCAATCTTTCTTAACAATGTGCGAGATTTCCTTATATTTGCTGCCTATTTGGATTCATGAGCCATTCAACAACCAGTGTTGGTATTAAGTATTTGTGGGTCTGTTAGAACCAAACCAGATGGAAGCAACAATACAGAGGGTGTATTTGGGTTCCTCAAACTAAGAAAAGGCCAATTTAGGGTTCAAGCAAACAAGAAATCGGTTCAAGCAATCGATTTCGGGTTCAAGCAAACAGCCGATTAGCAACAAAATCGAGATGAAGCAATCGTGTACCTGAGTATGGAGAGAGGAGAAGTCGCCGATTTAGGTAGAAGTCGCCGATTTAGAAGTCGCCGATTGAGTAGAAGTCATCGCCGGTTGATGTGAAGGAAGCGATGGAGGCGAATACGGGGAAATGGTGTGGGGAAGAAAGGGGTTAGGTCTTGATGTGAAGGAAGCGATGGAGCGGATACAGTGGTAAGGGTAGTGGGGTAAAAAAAATTGAGTTCCACTTAGTTCTAGGGGGGTAAGGGCGGACAACCGTGTCCCACCCTTGTCCTACTTAGTTCTACTTAGTTCCACATTAAGCCACACCAAACGTAGGACAAATGTGTTCTGTCATGTCCTGTCCCATCCTGTCCAGCGCACCAAACACACCCCTTACATTGAACGGTTGGAGTGATTTGACCGATAAAATGAAGTCACCGGCTGTTGGAAATGCTAACCAGCACATAGTATGTAATTAATATACATTTGTTCAAATATACAAATTAATTTTTTTCAAACATTAATTAATTATAATGTATTGTGAAATGTAGACTTTTGTGAAATGTAAGAAATTATTGTTTCTTTATCTATTATTAATTCCATTAAAAAAACAGTCTCTGAATCGTTAAAAGATGAATTTTGTTTGACAAAAAAAGGGTGTGTCTCTGAATCATTCTAAAACTCTCTGAATAATTTTGTATCATAGGCCTCTCTTAACCATTAAACATCATAATTTCATTATAAACATTTACTAAATAATTATATTTCATTTTATATTATATCATAAGAATTTTTTAATTATTTTAACTATTTAATCTTTTTACATCAAACCATTCACCAAATTTGAGTGTAGTTATTGAACCTCAAAAAAAGAGATCTCCATCAAGATATTTGACCCACCAATTCCACCAGAGTTTGACTTTTGACCAATTACCTTCCAAAAATAGCATTCATGATTAATCATCATCCATGCCCTCAAAAACCTACACAAAATAATTTCAGTGTACACACCTCCAACTTTTTTTTTCAAATTCTACTTATCGTAATTTCTTTAAATATTACAATTTTTTAAAAATAAATATCTATACTTCTATTTTAATTTGTATTTAAAATATATTTATTTTTCAAAATAATTATTTAATTT